GAGAGAGAGAGAGAGAGAGAAGAGAAGGGAAGAGAAGGGGGAAGGGAGGGGAGGGGAGGGAAAGGAAAGAAAAGAAAGGAGAGGGGAAAGCTGGGCACCATGACACACACTTTTAATCCCAACACTAGGGAGGCAGAGGCAGGTGGATCTCTGAGATCAAGGCTAACCTGGTCTATGATGAGTTCCAGGCCACCTTGGGCTCCAGGGAGACCCTGTCTCAATAAAACAAAACAAAACAAACAAGCAAAAAACTGTTTTGTGTGTATGTGTGTGTTTTGAAGCAGAAAACATTTATTTCTAAAGGTCCTGAATTTTTTTTTTTTTTTTTTTTTTTTTTTTTTTTTTTTTTTTTTTTTAAAAAAAAAAAAAAAAAAAAGAGGACGATAAATCTTTCACTGTGATATATCAAAATAAGATCTACCTGCCTCTGCCTCTGCCTCTGCCTCCCAAGTGCTGGGCCAAAGGCCTGTGCCACCACACTCAGCTTGATTTATTTTTATTTTATGAGTGTTTTGCCTGCATGTATGTAAGTGCACCACATTCCTGAGGAGGCCAGAAGAAGGTGTTGGATCCCCTAGAACTGAAGTTATAGATGGTTGTGAGCAGCCATGTGGGTACTGGGAACCAAACTCAGGTAGTTAATGCTCTTAACCTGTGAGCCATTCTCCATCCCTCCTGAATATTTTTGAATCCTGATCTTTGCTCAGGGTTTTTTCTGTTTCTGTTGTTGTTCAGTTTTTGTAGTACTGAGGTTGAGACTCAGGGCCTCATGAATGCTAGGCAAACACTCTGTTACTGAGCTACACCCTAGCTCTCAGTTTTGATTTTAAAAGCCTCCCAAACTAAGCCTGTGTGTAGACCTCAGTATAGCAATTAGCTGCCTAGAGAGGCCAGAACTTCAAATATATAAGTACAACTGTGTACATAGCACATGAAAAAGTGGTTAGAAGGTACAAACAGTAAAACATGGCAGTCTAGCTGGGCAGGGTGGTGTACGTCTTTAATCCCAGCACTTGGGAGGCAGAGCAGGACGATCTTTGTGAGTTCGAGGCCAGCCTGGTCTACATAGTAAGTTCCAGGCCAGCTGGGGCTACCGGGAGACCCTGTCTCAAAAAGACAAAAAAAAAAAAACAACAACAAAAAAAAACCCCAAAACATGGAAGTCTATATATGTAGTGACTATTTGTTCCATATGTTTGGGCTTAAGCTCATTCTTTACAATGGGTCTGTACTTTGGTTTTATGAGATGGTGTCTCATGTAGCCCAGGTTGGACTTGAATAAACTCTGTGTAGCTGAGGATTATCTTGTACTCCTGATCTCTGCTTCCTCATACCTGCTGAGATATGGGTATATATCACCATGCCTAGCAGATCTATACTCTTACTTACTGTGCTTACTTTGCAAAAGCCATTCTCTCAGTTATTTGAAAATGAAGGAAGATTCTTTTTTTCCTTTATTTCCTTTTGCTAACATTTTTTTTGCTTTGTTAGAATGTTATCTATTATTAGTTTCAGAGAATGTATCCAGCAGTTTTTCCCTATAACTGAATTTATTGTAGAATAAAGGAAGCCAGAATGTTGGATTCTCACATCTTCATCAGAGATCTGCCCAAGACATTGTTCATTGTGTTGTTCAACTGCTAACCCCAATGTGTAACCATCTGGAGAACATTCACAACTATTTTCAGGTCAGAAGACTATCATATCATTATTAAGACTTGGAAGTTACCATGTAAATATGAAAACCAACAGGGCAGGCAAACTGGAGATCTTGGCAGCTATGAGGAGGAGGGAGATAGGTAAGAGGAAGAAAGAAAGTTATGCTTTCTGAGTGAGCATTCAGGAAGTAGGCAGACTCAGCAATAGAAGTCTACAGGAGCTGTGTAGGATGAGGGTGGTTTTCAGAGAGAATTGGGAATTCCCAGAGGTCAGGACAGCAGGCGTCCAATTTTTTAGGAATATAGAGAAAAAGTTAACTTATGGCAGGCTTAGTAGTGAGGGTCTCCTAAGCAATCGCCAAGACTTAATTTTTAGGTAGAAAACCTAAAGAGAAATGAGTGCATTGTTGGAGGAACTATACTAACATCATTTTTCTTTTTAGTGCTTAGTTGCTGAAAAACACAGTGTAGCTCACAGACCAGGAGTGAAAGCTCAGGAGCACCATATAATGTCTTCCTGTTACCAGAAGCTACTGCAGATTTTTCATTCCCTTTTTGCTTGGTGAGTACACGTGGAAAGTGTTATAGTAGGAAAAAATTAATCTATGTGCTTTTACTTACCAGTTATGCACTAAGAAATAGAAGAGATGGAAGAGGCTCTAAACTTATTGCTCAGATACATTATTTTCCATTTGATCGTGTGACCTCTGAGACTTATGGAGCTACTGTTATTATCCAGTTTGATGACTTAGCTGACTTGTTGATTAGCTAACCAATAACAAATCTGAACTTCTTATTCCTTCTGTTTCCTGAACATTCTGTAATAACTAGGGAAATAGCACAATGGTACATGTCTAGTGCCAGCTACCTGGGGGAGGCTGAAGCAAACGGATCACTTGAGCTCATGAGTTTGAGACCAGACTAAATAACATAGTGATCCCTCCATTTCAAAAAAAAAATAATAATAAACTAGGGAGACTGTTTTGTAGTTGGTTAAGAAATGATTTTTTAGGGGACTGGAGAGATGGCTCAGAGGTTAAAAGCACTGGCTGCTCTTGCAGAGGACCTGGGTTTGATTCCCAGAACTCACATGGCAACTAACAATCATACATATCTCTAGTTCCAGGGGGTCCAATGCCCTCTTCTGACCTCTGCAGGCATTGCACAACATGGGGCACTTACATACATGTAGGCAATAGATTCATACACATAAAAATAAGTATTAAAAAAAAATAAACAGGGTCTTGGACTGGAGAAATAGCTCAGCCATTAAGAGCACTGGCTGCTCTTGGAGAGGACCGGAGTTCGATTCTCAGCACCTGCATGGCGGCTAACAACTGTCTGTAACTCCAGTTCCAAGGAATCTGATACCTTTTTCTGACTTCCTCAGCCATCTGATACCTTTTTTCTGACTTCCTCAGCCTTTGCACAACATGGGTGCACTTACATACATGGAGGCAGTACACTCATACATGCTAAATAAAAATAATATATAAGGCTGGGCGTGGTGGTGCATGCCTTTAATCCCAGCACTCGGGAGGCAGGGGCTACAGAGAGATCCTGTGTCAAAAAGACAAAAAAAAAAAAAAAAGAATATATATATAAAGCTAGATGTTGTGGCACATGCCTTTATAAAGTCCCAGCACTCAGGAAGCGGAGTCAGGCAGATCTCTGTGAGAACAAGACCAGCCTGGTCTACTAGTGAGTTCCAGGCCAGCCAAGGCTACAGGAAGACCCTGTCTCAAAAAGACCAAAAATAGCTGGGCGTGGTGGCACACACATTTAGTCCCAGCACTTGGGAGGCAGAGGCAGGCAGATCTCTCTGAGTTCGAGGCCAGCCTGGTCTACATAGTGAGCTCCAGGACAGCTGGGGCTATAAGGAGACCCTGTCTCAAAAAGAAAAAAAAAAAGACCACAAATACTAATAATAATATATAAAAAAAATTTTTTGTAATATATAAAATATTTTTTTGAAAAACAGGGTCTTAAGCCGGGTGTGGTGGCACACGCCTGTACTCCCAGCACTTGGTAGGCAGAGGCAGGCGGATCCCTGTGAGTTCAAGGTCAGCCTAGTCTACATAGTGAGTTCCAGGACAGCTGGGGCTACAGGGAGACCCTACTTCAAAAAATTAAAAAACAAAACAGAACAGGGTCTTGCCAGGCGTGGTAGTGCACACCTTTAATCCCAGCACTTGGGAGGCAGAGGCTGGTGGATCTCTGTGAGTTCAAGGCCAGCCTGGTCTACATAGTGAGTTCCAGGACAGCTGGGGCTACAGGGAGAACCTGTCTCAAAAAGACTTTAAAAAAAAAAAACAGGGTCTTGTATAGAAACTAACCTTGAATTTTCTGTGTAGCTGATACTGGTTTTGAGCTTCTGATCCTTCCTCTACCTCCTTAGTGCTAGGATTATATGCCTGTGTCATCATGTGTGTTTCTTATGTAGTGCTGGGGTTGCAAGCCAGGGTTTCATGCATGTTAGGCAAACACTCTGCCAATTGTGCTCTATCTCCAGCCCTTAGTCAGCTTAGTTCAGGCTCTTAAAGGTTAGATGATTTTTTTTTTTCTTTTTTTAAGCAAGGTCTTACTGTGAATCCCTAGATGGCCTGGAACTAGCTTTGTGGACCAGGCTAGCCTCAAACTCCCAGAGATCCATCTGCCTCTGCCACTGAGTGCTGGGATTTAAGGTGTGTGCCACCACATCTTGATTTTTGATTTATTGATATTGTGTGTCTGTGTGCATGCATGCACTCACATTGCAAACAGCTTGTAGAATTTTTTTCTTCCTCAGTCATGTGGGTCTAGGGAATTGAACTTAGTCATCAGACTTGACAACAGCTGCCTTGATCCTTAGTAGATGACCTTTAGGGAGGTAGAGAATTGGAAGGCATAGTATGGTTGAATGTAGGAATAAAGGAATGCCCTTTAAGTATTTCTGTTCCTCAGAGTTACACCCTGTCTGATCTGTCTCCTTTGCACAGCTTTTCTGGAGAGTCTTACCCAGTCTTAAATTTTGCTAAGATTTATCTTCTGAGCTAAAGGCATTTATATACAGTTGCCTACTCAACACCCCCTTGGATGTGTCGTTGATAAATCAGACTCACATCCAAATCAGGGTGTATCATTACTGCTTTTCCAGCTTTACCTGGCTCAGTAAATGGCATCACCAGTTTTCTGCATTAGCACCCAGGAGTTAGTCTTTTCCCCCTCCCTCTACTGTTGATTTTATCCTCTAGATAGGCATCTTCCCTCTCTTCACTGCTTCTAGACTTCCATCATGTCTGACCTATACTACTATCATAGTTGGTTTTTATGTCCCCAGTTGTCCTGCCTCAGTCCATTCTTTACAAAACAATCACAGTACTCTTCCAACATACCCAGTCTGATCTTGTTTATTTGTGGTCTCTCATTGATGTTAGAGCTTCCCTGAATTCAAACTCTTTGGCCTAGCTTTCCATACCTTCTGTTGTCTGGCTTTGGCTATTCTAATTGTGTCTTACATTGTCTCTAGCAAACCGAGTTCATTTTAGCACCCCCCTTTTTTTTGTCTTTTTGAGACAGGATTTCCCTGTCGCCTGCCTCTACCTCCTAAGTACTGGGATTAAAGGCGTGTGCCACCACGCCCGGCATCACCTTTTTTAACTTTTACCTGAAAAGCAGCACACATATCCTTCTATGAGGTTCCTTGCACTATTTTATCCTTAACCTTTTCTTACTTATCTGATTCCTTCAGATCTGGACTTTTTTTTTTTAATATATTATTTTTATTTTATGTGTGTGCATGTATTACCCAGATCTGGACTTTTAACAGCACTTCTTCAGACACGTCTTCTCTAACTTTAACTAGCTAAACCTCTTTTTTGTCTCCCTGACCCTTAGTTCCCTGCTAATACTCAAGCATTCTCCTGATAAAACGTAATATATTTTGTTATAAATGCTTGTTTATTTTTCTTTTCTGCTGGTCTGTGATCTTCATGAGGGCAAATATCAGTCATTTTTATGTCTTTTTTACTTGAAAAAGCAATGCTTGACAAATAATTTGCATAGGCCATTCAGTAAGGAGATTTTTTTTTTTTTTGATGGTAGACACAAGAAAGGCTTTTCATTATTATTAGTTACTAAGGAAACAGTTAAAAGTACAATGAGAAGGCTGGGTATGGTGGCACATGCAATCCCAGCACTCGGGAGGCAGAGACAGGTGAATCTGTGAGTTCAAGGCCAGCCTCATCTACATAGTGAGTTCCAGGACAGCTGGGGCTACAGGGAGACCCTGTCTCAAAGCTCCCCCTCAAAAAATAAACCCCCAAAACAAAAAACAGTACAATGAGAAAGCACAGCACACACAGTCCATTGCAAATGAAGAAGGCCATTCCAAGGGTTGGTGAGAATGTGGAATATCCAGCATGCTCACATGGGGCTAAAAATAGTCTACCCACTTTGGAAAATAGTTTGTAACTCTTAAACAGTTAGATAATATAACTACCATATGATCCAGCCAGTCCAGGCATAGTATGGTTGAATGTAGGAATATTTACCCATGGGTATTTACCCATGACACAAAATCTTACATAGGAATATGTATAGTATTATTTTTGTAATAGCTACAAAGTAGAAACTACACAAATGTTGATCATCTGGTAAATGCATAAAGAAATTATGATATAGCCACATGGCAATGTACAACATTTAGTAACATGGGGTTTTTTCTTTTTAAAAAGGATTATGCTTAAATATATATCCCTAGAATCTACAAACCTCTGTGTTCAATCTATGTGTGCATTACATAAACCAGACATAGTGGCATATGCTTACAATCCTAGCACTTGGGAAATAGAGACAGAAGGATCAAGAGTTCAAGGTCATTCTCAACTACTTAGAGAGCTCAAGTCCAGTCTGCGATGCTGAGACCCTTTACACACACACACATACACACACACACACACACACACACACACACACGCACACGCATGCATGCACGCATGTATGCACATGCACCCCT